GGTAAACTTAGATAGGGAGTTGTAAATTATATCCACTATTTCAACTTGTTATAGGGATTTTAACAAAACTAATCAGTATTCGTCGTACACATCTTTGTGTCTGTTAATGAAAGTCTAAGAATTTAATATAAAGTCCATTAAAGGTGAAAATAATTCCAGACAAGAAGAATTAGCCGAGTTTGAACTTTTGGAACAAGAGATCGAAGATAGCGAGGATGGTCTTGTTAGGACCGATTATATAGTTTGTCATGATGAACGAATACAATTGGCGAGGTGAGAAAGTTACAATGTTTGGCTTTTGGAAGCACATGCAAAAATGTTTTCTCCAGGCTGCGGCAGCGAGTTTTCACCTCGCAACCACCTCGACCACGTCCGCAGTTTCCAATCGCCAGAATTCCATCATCAAACGATTTGGTGATGAAACGAATGCAGGTACGACATCTTATGGATGGAAAAAGTTCTTCCCCATTTAAATCCAAGTTACCCAACATCACAGGTGAAGGCTACTCTTTCCAATCTTGATTTGCGATCCTTTGGTAGCGAAACATCATTGGTATCACTGGATTTCACCACACCTGGTGATATTGGATCGCCAATGCACTTTGCTGCAAATCCATTCCAGAGGTACCCATTTTGAAATTTCAGCTTTTTCTGGAAATTAAGTTTATCTCCTATTAAGGAAAGCTCTTTCATTAACTAATCTGTTAAACTAAGGTCACGAATTCCCCGAGGATCGTTCCGAAGTCCACGAAAGACCATCGCTATATAGAAGAACGTATCGTGTTCCACATTCCCATAGGACAAAGTATGGCGCAGGACTAAGCCCCTTAGGACTAGCCTGTCAGAACAAAAGCTAGTTAGAGAGCAGTATTAGTCAAGTAACCTTATGGGAATAGGAATCTCCCGTGGATTGTCAGTCGGGTGTGTTTGGTGCCGAAGATTCCAGAAATTGTTATTTTGACTTTTTCAGGAATTCCATAATCATGATCTTTGCATTTACTGTACTTAATACTTGAATCTCTCTGTTTATTTGCTAAACGGAGATCTAACTGCTTTTTGCCTGCATGATAACTAATGCTTAAAACTCACACACACCCATCTATGTCACTGTCACTTACTCACAAGTTATCCCATGACTCTTTGTTACTCGCACCTATCGTACTCTATCGATTGCAACTATCGAGGCTGTACCGATTTTGTTCGAGTTATGAGCAGTTGTCATTATGTCAGCTGCAGCGATACGTGTTTATTTAGTCGAAGACGCACTTTCTATGCATATCCGGTAATCATCCGGGCAGCGAATCCATTGCTCATTTATGACATACAACATTAACAACATGACAATTGTCCGAAGTTCTGTGAAATATGAACATACACACGCATATATGCATACATTGTTGCCTTTTTCGCATGTTTTTTTGTACATACGTTTAGTTGATTGGTTGTTATTGTTGTGCTACGGGTTGTAATAATAAAATAATCCAATTTCTTTTCTCGTAGAAACTACAATAGCGCAGTTGTAGCCATGTCAACATGCAGAATTACCGTTGAAAATTCAATAATTGTTGCAGAAATGTAAGGAGGAAGGTAAGAGTTACTGTATGTTAGTTGTTTCTGAAACAAAAATGTAGCACTGATGCAATATGTGCATGACATAACACTAATCAATAACTACAAGTAAAACTGTAATTTATGAGAAGGGAGTCACAGGGAGCAAATAATGTTACTATCTCATGTACAAATAAGTTTTTTATAGGGGGTTAATGCACCTCCCTACTAGACTCTTTTCGAGGCCACACACACGATGTATCCTTAGCCCTGTCTCAGGCTTCGGCGGCTACTACATATATGTCTGAACGTCTCATCTTAAATCGATATATGCTTTTTACCAGACTTACTGTTACACGAATTCAGCCATAAAATGGCATCAATTAAAAAAGGCGAATATTTGAGAGTGTAACATGTTAAAAGAAAAAGTTATAGACACTATTAATACTTTTTATATATCGCTCCTTTTTCTATCTCCTTCTCTTCTAAAACCATGCAGCGTTACTCCTTTAGGTAGCTGTAAATATAGCTGATACCTTACACTGAATATGCAACGAATAAAAGACCAGAAAACTGAATTTATAATGTAGAAAACTTATCGATCAGACGATTCGTATAAAATCTCAAGATCGTAAGTTACTGATTGATTGTACAA